CAATTTACTAGAAGAAAGTATTCTTGTGTTGAGGGAGTACTTGAGTGGAGGCCCAATGTCCTTCTGCTACCTTAATACTAAACCTATAAATGTAGGCTCTTAGATCTATTTCCCCATCCTCATATAACTGATTTTTAAAACACACTTTACAATACGCCTGATTTGTGTGTGGATGCAGTTGTTAGGCATCAGCAGAAGCAAACATGGCCGAATCCCGTATCCTCTTTACAGCTGTTCTCATGTTGGAGCTCATTGTCGCAGTCACATATCAACATATACATACATATGACTGATATTTATATATATGAGCACTAAATGTGCATTAGAATTAACTTTAGCTTACCTTGCCTTGTAAATGAATACTACTGCGGATTACATCGCGTACTTCATCCTCAGTGTCTTTCTGTCAAAAAATAAATGTTACCAAAAGGAAGTCTTATTAATACTCAAAGTCAATTAAAAAAACACAAAGTTCTTTCTTTTCTAAAATAAAGTATGTATAAACGAACCTCTTTTGTATAGTACTTAAAGAGCAATCAGTTTTATTTCTCAACAAAGACACTGACTTAAACACAAGAAACAATTATCAATATATCCTTTGAATAATAAAACAGGTATGTCACAGAATGTTATCATATACTTTGAATTACAATGCTGGGAATGTCTTCAATATGTTTTTCTTTCTTTCTTTTTCTAATAAAATGGATAGTAATATGAAACTTTATTAGTATTTTGGGAATTGGCTGATGAGCAGATAATTAGTTTTCTATTCAACAATCCACACACATTTTGCTTCATCTCATTCATTTTAAACAGTTTTATGGATATGCAATCCACAAACTATACAATTCAATGGCTCAATTATATTATAAAGAGTCGTGCAATAATACAGACAATTGTAGAACATTTTCTTCATTTTTGTTGCCATTGTCATGACAAAAGTTCCCCTTCCTCCCTCACCTCCCCAGTCATAACGCTGAAAAGCTATTAATCAAGTTACTGTCTCTATAGATTTACCTATCCTGGATTTCATACAAAGAAAATCATACAATCTGCCATCCAATGACAATAATCAAATAAAGCAAAGAAATACCTCAATCAAAAAGAATGCAAAAATTATAATAAAAACTAGAACAAATTCAAAATGGGTCCAAGGGGAAAACAAATGATAAAAACTAAAAAACAAACTCACTGCCATCAAGTTGATGCCTACTCATAACTACTTGCCCCCAGGAGATCCTCCCATGGGAGTTTCGAAACCATAACTGTTTAAGGAACGAGAGAGACCCATCTTTGTCCTGTAAAGCAGTGAGTAGTTTCGAACTGCAGAGCTTGTGGATAGCAGCCCAGTGAAATAACCACTATACCACCAGGGTTCTTCAGACAAATGATATGATGCTAAAATTTAACCTGACTATATATAAATTGTGAATAAGTCTTTTTTTTTTAACCAAACCTGTTTCACAAATTTTGGGGTTTTCTTTTTCAGATACTTTCTTAAGACTATGGTGACTAGAAGCAACCAACTCCATAGTAAGTGCACCAATAATCGAAGGATTTGGTAAAGTAGAAACACACAAGATGAAGAGGCAGACATCAACTGAATCCCTGTACACTTGAGACGGTGGAGCCCTGGTGGCATAATAGTTTCTCACTGGACTGTTAACTGCAAGATCAGCAGTTTGAAACCACCAGCTGTCTTTCTGCAAAAGTGAGACAGGGCTTTCTACTTCTGCCAAGAGTACACTCAGACACTCATACTCTGTTCTGCAGGATCACTATGAGCTGGCATCATGTAGATTACATTGAGTTTGTTTGTTGCTTTTTTTGTTTTGCTTTGGTTTAGTTTTTGTTTTTGGGGGGTTTTTTTGGTTACACCAGTGAAGAAAGTTCTGAAAAAAAGACATCAAGAAAACAATATCATTTATAATTCCTACACAAATGATGCAATACGTAGAAATAAACCTAGCCAAAGAAACAAAAGACCTATAAACAGAAAAGTACAGAACATTATTGCAAGAAACCAAAAGAGACCTACACAAATTGAAGAATAATATCCTGTGCTCATGGATATTCTTAGGAAATGCCAATACTAGCTAAAGCAATCTACAAATACAAAGAAATTCTGATCCAAATCCCAGTTTCATTCTTTAAAGAAGTGTGAAAATTAACTACCAAGATATGGAGAGTGAACTGACTCAGGTAGGCAAAGAGGTCCTTACAAAGAAGAACAAGGGAGGAGGCCTCACATTACCTGAACTCAAAAATTATTACACAACCACAATAGTCAAAACACCCTGTTACTGGCACAATGATAGCTACACAGACCAGTTGACAGGATAGAAACCCAGAAATAAAAACATCTACCTACAGGTAACTGATTTATAACAATGGATCAAGAAACATTAAATGGGAAAGGAATACCTCTTTAACAAATGTTACTGGAAAAAGTGGATGATCAATGAGAACATTATGATAAACCAACAGACCCTATTGCATTGAATACATAGATAAGCAAATATACTAGAGGAAACACACAGTAGAAGAAAAACTCGATGACTGGGGTGTACTAAAAATAAAACTGCACATCAAAAGAGTAAAACAAGAGCCCAGAGACTGGAAAACATTTCTTTAGCACTGAGATAATGGGCAAGGAACTAATTACTAAAAACGATAGACTTCTGCAACACCCCAATTAGAAAAAAAATAATAATAAAATTTAAGAAGCAGGCAAAAGACATGAACGAGTTCACAAACAAGACATTCAAATGGCGAACAAACACATTAGAAAGCATGCAGGATCACGAGCTATCCAGGAGGTACAAATGAAACCAATTAAGGAATATCACCTTACACCGGCAATGATAGCCCAATTCAAAAAACACTGGAGAGGGTCTGATGAGATTGGAATTCTTATACATGGCTGGTGGGTCTTTAAACACGTACCACATTATGTAAAACAACTGGGAATAGAAATACCATACAACCCAGAAATACTTTTGCTGGGTATATACTCTAAAATATATGAAACACAACATGAACAGATGCATGCATTCTCATGTGCACTGCAGCAGAGTTCATGATATCAAGAAGCTGGAAATAGCACCAATCGCCATCAATACAAGAATGGATAAAGAAATTGGTATATACGTGCAATGGAATACTATGCATACCTGAAAAACAGTGATGAAACCATGAAACCCCTTATGATATATTTAGACCTGAAAGTCATTATACTAAGTGAAGTTAGTCAATCACAAAAAAGACAAATACTGTATGAGTCCATTAGTGGTGGGATTCAATTGGTTCTCACTAGTTTGGCAGAACCAATACTTAATTTTGTGTTGAATACTGTGAACCAGTTGCTAAAATTATACTTGTAATCAGGCTTCTCACTAAGCTGGGTGGCTGAGCAGCTGGCCAATGTGGAAATTGCAAATTTACAATCTTTATTTATTGTTAATATTCATTTGTGCAACAATGTGTTGTAAGCAGCTTCATTCCATCCATACATATAAAAAATAGAACTATGCTTGCAATGTTTATTTCTTCATTTTATAAAACTTGTTATACTTTTGATAAAATGCTATATTAATTTTTAATCATTTTATTGGGAGCTCTTAAAGATATTATAATAGTCCATAATTTAATTAGATCAAGCATAATTGTACAATTGCTACCACCATCAGTTTCAAAACATGTTCTTTTTTTCCTTGAACTCTTTGATATGAGCACCACTTTATCTCCTCCCACTCACCACCCCACCCCCCAGGAACCCTTATGTAAGATACAGCATATACAGAATATATATATGCTGTATCTTACATCATTCAATGTATTCGTGTATCTATTCACCTGCAATTCTGTTATTTGTTCCCCTCAAGTGGGGTTATACAGTCATCATTGCTATCAGCTTCCCTTCTCTCCAACCTACCTCCCTTCTCTTCCCATATTCTCAGGGAATCATTACTCCCATTACTGTTTCTAAAGGGTTGTCTATCTTGTCTTTCATGCATCTAACAATCTTAATTATACAAATGAACATACACAGGTCTAACAAGATTAATGAGGTAAAACCATAATAGAAAGGGCTAAAATATATTAAAGAACTAGAGGATAGTTATGTGTTTCATCAGTGCTATGCCACACCCAAGATTTATAATGCCTTTCATGCAGCGCTTCTCTGAGGGACTGTTCAATTATCTTACAAATGGATTTGGGGTCTCCACTTTGTGCACACTCTTTCATGTCATTTTGATTGCTTGTTTTTGAACTTCTGATACCTATTCCCATCGACACCTCATTATAACAGGCTGGTGTGCTTCATGTGGGTTTTGTTGTTCCCTGCTAGATGGCTGCTTGTTTAACTTCAAGCTTTGCAGACTCCAGGTGCTATGTCTTTTAAGAGCTGGGCACCATCAGTTTTCTTCACCACATTTGTTATGCACCCATTTTGTCTTCATTGATTGGGTCAGGAAGGTGAGTATCATACAGTGCCGCATTATTAGAACAAACCATTTTTGTACTGAGGTAATATTTAAGTAGTGGCCCAAAGTCCATAAGATTCCTTGTTGTATTTCTGTGTGTATACATACATAGACAAATACACTTATCTTTATATATTTACATATTTACATGTATACATAGCTCTATTAACACCTACATATATAATATTTACTTTTTTCTCTTTCCTCTTTCCTTTCCTTCAGCCACATTATCATGTTTACCCACTGTTTACCTCTCCAATAATTCTCTCTGATATACTTCAATTGATCAAACACAAGTAGAAATGCTACACCCTTCTCACTGTCAATTTTAGAACCTCTGATTTCCCCTGTCCCTGTCTTCATTGGATCACTGCTCACCCCACCCCACCCCCAGCCCTGGCCTCCTCTCCTCCCATTCCTATTCACTTGCACATGAAACTTCAGTAAACAAACATATAACACAAAGAGAAAAAGTGCCAGCCAACCAGTGGTAACATGCCATCATTCATTTCAGCTTTGTGTCATGCCACAATTACCTACAAGATCTTATGAGTGAATTATGCAATTATTGAAAGTGTTCGAAGAGCTAAAAATATTTTCAAAACAAGAGCTGTAAGTTCAGCAGAAGTGGATAGGTTTTTTTTTTCAAGAAAGGTATAATATATTCAGAGAAGTCCCCTAACGATCTCTAATACATCAAACACAGTAACTATTGCTGAATTGGCCTACCTCTAAAGGAATGGGATCCTCCTCCTACAGTGAAAAGATGGCTAAGGAAAAATCGTATGAAAGTGAAGAATACCACGAGTGAGGATGCCAACCAAAGAGCAATATGGAAATATCTTAAATAACAGTATTATTGTTTCTTTTCAGATATTATTTCATATTTTTCATTGATATTGCAACTCTTTCTTAT